TCATTGTTGTTTGGCAGGTCCAGGCTGGGGATTCGAACCCACCACCTTAGGTGTACGTGGCTGGCGCCTTAGCCGGTTGAGCTATAGGCGCCGAGCCTGTTCTCTTGAAGTCTTACCTACAGTTACTCTACAGCTTTCTGCAAACTTATTAACCCCTCCCACATTGAAATTGTTCTTTATTAAGGCACTAACCCCTCTTTACTCAGAATAGCCCTAATATACTGCAAACCACTCTCTCCTTGAAATACTCTCTTTACTTCACTTTCACAAAGCCAAATCCTCTTGAATTTCCTCCTATCTAGTTAATTCTTCTCATTTGCCTTCTAAGCCTTTTTTCTGCCTAACCTTTATAGGCTGCCTTATCCTATACTCGCCCTGGGCAATCACATCTACTCCATGGCATCATTGACCACATATATTCTGATGACTCCCAAATCTCTCTTTGTAACCTATATATCCCACAGGCACTTCAAACTTGAGATAGCTACATTGAAATCTGTTCCCCATCCCTCTCCTATTCTTGTATAATTCTAAGTTGAAAATTACCTTCATTCCATTAGCAAAATATAGTTTATTCTACTTGTGAAATATACCTCCAATCTGTTCTCTTTGCTCTGTTTCCAAACAAGCAAGCATTTAACCCAAACATGCTGTGTTTGGTTTGCTTAAAATCCTAGAGTGTCTTATTATATTTGGAGTAAAAAACTTCAAATTGGGCGGCGCTTGTGGCTCAAGGAGTAGAGCACCAGCCCCATATAGTGGATGTGGCAGGTTCAAACCTGGCCCCGGCCAAAAACTGCAAAAAAAAAAATACTTCAAATCATGGTCTGTAAGTTCCTCAACCTTACTCTCTGACACTCTTCCTCACTAGCCACATTGATCCTTCTGGAATGCTGTAGCTCTTTGTGTGTCTTTCCACATAATTGTTCTCCTTTTTCCCTCTCTTGCCTTTTGGGACTTTTATATTACTTTGTTGCAGCATAAGTGCTACCTATTCAAAGAAGCCTTTCCTTAACACCTGACTCCTTGCAAAGTAAGCCCCTCTATTATTCTCTGTCACAGTATGTTATTTTCTTAATACTTTTTTTTTTTAAAGCTTTGTTGCCTTTGATAGAGTGCTGTTGCTTCATAGTTCACAGCAACTTCAAACTCTTGGGCACAAGCAATTCTCTTGCCTCAGCTTCCCAAGTAACTGGGATTATAGGCACCCACCACAATGCCAGCTATTTTTTAGAGATGGGGGGTCTCACTTTTGCTCAGGCTGGTCTCAGACTCCTGAGCTCAAGCAATCCACCCGCCTTGGCCTCCACAGTGCTAGGATTACAGGCATGTGCCACCATTTCCGGCTTCTTATACTTTTTTTATTGTTTGTTGTCTGCTTTTTCCATCAGCAAACTCTATACTCTATTTTATTACTTAACATGCCAGTTAGATGTATGTTTTGTATCACTACTGTCACTGTGTTAATTCAAGTCAAGTCCACCATTGTGACTTAGGATTCTGACAACAGTATACTGTCTGATGTCTTTGCCTTTCTTATTCTTTTTTTAATCCTTTTTTTTTTTGAGACAGAGCCTCAAGCTATCCCCCTGGGTAGAGTGCTGTGACATCACAGCTCACAGCAACCTCCAACTCCTGGGCTCAAGCAAGTC